ACATTACTAAGTAYATTGGTGTTTGTATGAGCAAACACTATTAAGCCCTGTTGCACGCCTTTGCATAGACTAGGCTTTTTACAACATTGTCTTCGCCGTTTTTCATAAGCTTTCCTTAATAGTTGCGGTAATCTGCTTTTGGTTGCGTTATTCTAATCAAAACATTTTCCACATATTTTTGGCAGTTTCTGTTTATTTCTTTACAAAATGTTATTCAGACGGCAGCACTTGTAAGTACATGCTTAGTCGCCAGAGAATATAAACACACGTCAGATTTCATTTGTCAAAAAGGCGGATCTTTTTGAAACCCAAAATTCGACCAAAGCTGTAATGCCATTCACGGGTGTATTTGTGAAAGGATATTAAAACAGATTTCTCTTCATTTTGATCGCTTGTATGGCAGCTACACTTTGCAGACTGTATAAARCAAGATATTCGGCGATTGTAGCGTTGGCTTGGACGATAATTAATGAGAAACTTTATRAGGACTTARCTTTGATCATTAAGTTTGCATGGCAGATATATGCTGTAGTCGWCCGATCGGCTGTYWTTTGTTCTGGGTACAAAAATAATTKAGGGATAATTGTCTRATCTATATTAGAAAAATTTCAGGATTTTAGGTATTAGTGTTGGGCACTATATTCAGTAATCGGATTGTCCGTTGTCATGAGAGTATTGTTGGTCGTTTGAAAACAGAAACCAGACTTTCTTAAGGAATTTTATGGGATGCTCACGATACAAATTAATTGTTTCATATTTAAATTATTACAGTGCTCCAAAAAATAAATTCGTTTATACGAATTCGACGTTTCTCAAATTTTATTAGAGCCTTCTSACAGTATCAAAGCCCTTTAAAAGTAGAACTTTTAGCCTAACTTCATAGCAATCCTACCCCAAGACAGATCTCTAACCGCAAATAAGCTTGCACTTTATGCCAATGTAAATATATATTTATGGTACATATAAGCTGAGGAGCAACTTTGGCACATAACTGCATACCTAATACATTCTAAGCTACAGAGAGAAATGGAAAATTCCACAGAGACAGTGATTTACTTGCAAATTCTTGTTGTCGTTTTGTCTTACTGAGCTCATACGAATATTTGTGAAAATATGTATGCAAGTATCTGTAAGTATAAGGGTGGTCGCTAAAAATAAATAACTGTTAGATATTTGTAGCTTGACCTTTGAGCGATATGCTTTTACTATGTTTAGTGGAGAGGTTACAAGCTAGATTTCAAATTTCCGGAAACAACCGTATCTGTTTTGGGTTTAAGATAAAAAAAATAATCTCTTTAGTCATTAAGAGAGTTTATATTGAAGTAGTCATTCTTACCCAATGAAGCCTAAAACGTAAGTGATTAAATTTACCCCCTCCATTTAAGGGTAATCCTAAAATATATCTTTAGTTGGCGTGACCGATGCTGATATGAAAATTTATACACACATATATCGTTGCATTTGTATTTCTTTACCGTTATTGTTACTGCGAAATTTTCAGCTTATAGCTCATATTTCCATACACAAGTCTTACACGCACCATTACAAAAACATATGTGCATTTATTCATTCATTTGCCCCTGGTTTCTGAAGAATTTAAATATTAGCAAATCGACTTGAAAACAATTAAATTTTTAGTCAATCAATGTATGATATGAGTAGATAAAAGTTCYCTGTACATCGACAACAAATATTTGTATATATGTATATGTTCAGCTAATAGTAGACTTTACTCTGCATTTCTAACAGACATGTGCATTCTTATTTCGGGAAAAGCATTGTGATTAATACTTGCAAAACTGAAATATGATTTCATAAGGCCTTGGAAATTCCATTTTGAAATCGATTACGAGCACTGAGCAATGAGTTTACCAGCTTTTTCAGTTGAATTGGAAATATACTGACTTTATTTCTCTTCACAGCTGGTCAGTAAATGCATATTGTATTTTTTTTTTGTACTGTGTATTGCTTTTCATTCAAAATTTAATTTCCAAATACATACGGTTATCAAAAAAGTCTTGCGGTATTTTCGTTAGTTGGCGCTGAGAGCGCATTGTTCTAGTTTTATTCGTCGCAACGGGTCATGCTATACCTGTTTGGAAAGCTTATTTCACGCGCTAACACGTGCTTGATTGATTGTCGCTTCTTTTAAGTTGTTCATGAGTTTTAGCGTCTCAAACATGGAGCTAAATAAAGACAAGATACGGCATAATTTACAGTACTACTACGATAAAGGCAAAAATGCATCTCAAGCCGCCAATAAAATTTGTGCAGTTTATGGACCCGAAACAGTTTCCATTTCCACCGCACAACGATGCTTTCAACGTTTTCGTTCTGGTGTAGAGGAGGTCGAAAGTGGGCCACGCTCCGGAAGGCTTGTCGCCGAAAATTTTGATAAAATCTTTGAATTGGTCGAAAGAGACCGGCATAAAAGCAGCCGTAGCTGGGCATGAGTCATCAAAAAAAATGTTATGAACAATTGCAAATTTAATAAAAATACCGCAAATATGCAAATAGTTTCTGAACTAAAAAAATCTATTCAAATTTCATTTTATGTAAAAGTGAAAGAAAATGAATAACTACTTCGAAATTTTAAGAAATTTATGAGTATTGAAAACCTTTTATCTGGTTTAGTACATATTTATATGATTATGAACCGGTTTAAGGAAACGTTGCAAAACATATCACTGAAAGTTCATTCTACCGTATTATCTGCGCATTTCAAGAAAAAGTTAGACTAAACCCCAACTCCCAACTTTTTCTGGCAAATCATGAAGGCTTGGGTAAGCTTCGAAGTAAAGTAAACAAAGTCCGTTTGTGGATTTTTTATTATTACATGTAATGAGTCTAATACAAAAAATTCCTTTATTAAATATTATATATATACACAGCCTCCATTCTTATAACTAACATGCCTGTATTATTTCTCTCCATAATATTGGCGCATTTTGACTATTATATACTCGACACACGAACTTTGCATTAGGGTCCTCAGATTCTTTGCGGCATTTTCAAGACAAATGCTGCAATTCACAGATTATRTTGCTACTGGAATAAACTTCGCAATCGTCCATTTCAAGAAAGCCTCAACAAGGGCTGTGATTCACAGAACTYATGATCTCTATAAGAAACTAAAAACAAGGTTCTTAGTCACCATATTCAGGAGTTGTTGTTTAAGTATGTGGATTTTAGCTTTACCTCAAAATAGTGAACCATAATATATAATAAATTWAACACTTTCCATCGAAAAAGTTAGGTGTAAATGGAGAATAGTGGAAATTGTTGGTTTTCTCTTTAATATTATAAAGAAGCTACATATATTAAAAATTTCACTTGATTAGGTACGATAATGATACGAGTACCATCCTCGTCGGATTTGATTAAAGTTGTATGTGCTGAAGCTGACTGACCCGAACTCTTCGACACCATAGTAGATTAGTCATGGAGTAATTTATTTTCTTAATATTCCATCAATTTAATAACTGATTTGGAATCCTAAAATTTAAGCTTTTTTCAAAATCAAAGACTATTCTTAATCCTTAAGTAGGTTCTAATTTAAGGGCAGGTGAGCCAAATTACCGCTCTACCCTTCAAGCCGGATTATAGCATTAGCTTTTGATGTAAACGCTGTCTACTCGAAATATACATAAATTATGCAGCACATCACCACACACACGCACACACAAACTCGACCACTCACTTAAAACATTGACGATCTGCTGATTTCACAAAGCGATTGCGAATAATTATTTCCAGGCGTGCGCGTCACAATGGACATCAATGTGTTTTTGATGAACACTGTAGCCATGGCGGCGCAGTTTGAGCTGCAAGGTATTTGCTGAAAGCAAATCAACCATGAGTACAACAACAATAAGGATTAAATTTACACGCACATATACTGAAGCACAGACACAACCACACATACACAAGAGCTCAGCGGCGCATAAATGTAGTTTAGAAGCAGTCAGTTGGTGATTTACGATTTTCATTTGAAATTTAAATTAACATAATGGTCGCCTGCAGACGCKTGAAGACAACACAATACATATTTATGCATTAGCATCGAGCAGCGGGAACCGGCAACTAACGGTGYGGACCCTACGCAACCAGCAGTCGTCAAGGGTGCTCATCAGCACGTCGACAGCCGGCAGGTTGTTGAGTGATGCCAGAGGCGTCACGGCCAGGTGGTAAGGGAAGAGCGTGCGACAGGTGAGCGGACAGCGAATGGGGTTGGGGTGGTGAGCTTTATTGCTAAGCTTTGAGTATGCGATTGTGTGTGGGAGAACATTTGCTGGGCGGCATTAGTTTTATGCATAGGTAATTAAGCAGCCGAAGATGAAGGCACAAACTCATTTCAAAAGTTGCTCAAACAAATATACATATATATASATAYAAGTATGTATATGTATGTAATTCATTGTAAGCACTGCCACAGSAAGAATGCGGAGAGTTGCGTAAAATCTTAAATGTTGGGCTTGCTGTTGCGAAATTTCGTTGCTGATGTTGATTGATGCTTATTTTCGGCACAGCTGCGTTGACAATAACAACACAAAATGCGACATAAAAGCAAAGAAATGCGCGGCGAAAGCACGCTGGAGCGGAGCTGAATTCTAAAAATTCCACAAAGATGAAATCCACTGTATTTAAATGCGTTTTTTTTGCAAACTACCTTTGCCGCAGGCGCTGAAGAGAAAAAGGGCCCAGAAAATTATTTACTAACACACACACCCATCCAAACGGAAGTAATACAAATTTCGTACACAAGTCAACCAAATACATATGTACGTGTGTGTGCGTTTGTGAGCACGGCAACTTGCTGTATTTTATGTAGTCGTCAACAACTGCCTAAGCTGTTGCGGATTTGCMTACGTAAAACACGACAAAGTAACGGTAGTGCGGCAACGTGCTACATTTTCACTTTCTTTTATTGCAAGTTTTTTTCACCTTTGCTTTGGTGGAGAAGAAAGGCTCAGTATAGCGGCACCTTAGCGCAGACTTACCCGTACTTGTTGCTTTTCGGCTATTGGTGGCGCCTGCTTTCCAGCTGTGGGCGTGATTCAGATGAATGCTTTATTTTCCAGTTATTTCGTTTACATTTAGCACTTGTTTGTTTTTGTTGTTTGTTGCGCTTGTAATTTCTCTTTTATTTATTTATATTCACTCTTGGTAAACAGTTAATGCAATTTACAGTAACAGCTGTCAATCGACATCACAAACACGCTACAAATTCAAATTGAGTTGTATACGCGCTTGCCTTCATAAGTGTGTTTGTGCGTGTATATTTCATTGACGTGTATCAATATGCCGGCTCTTGTGTCACTTCAGCGCTTGTCACTTTTACACGTTTCAAATTAATTTATGCACATACAAATTTCTAAGATAATTTTTATTTCCGGCAGGAATTTGTTTAGTGAACGTGCGGTTTTGCCTTTYAGTTAATATTCAATGTTTTTCCTTTATTATTATTTCGAATTTGCTGCAAAAGTAAAAATATTTCAATTTAAARTTGCATTGAGAAAGTTATAACTGTTAATTGTTGCATCAATTTTTGATTTTTTATTTCTGGTATTCACCAAATTTTTTTTTTTTGCGTGAAATATTAATTTACTATTTCACTTTGATAAATTTATTTAAATGAGTTTCGTTCTTTTAGTATTTGGAGTTCGTTGGTCAATACATAAAACTYCTAAACTAAACTTAATAGCAACTATTTTTATTGCAGTGATAATCGAATGCTCAAACACACTTTAATGATTCTTTTTCGTATTACAGTAAGACTCATATAAACGTAACGAATTTATATGTAGGTTGTTTAAGCTGTGAAAAGCTTGCTTTGTTTAGCTTTAGTATGTACTTTAAATTTTTCTAAATCACTAAAAAAGTTCTCAAATAATTGTTTAATAAAAAATAACAAGAAGTAAAGACGTCCAACATACTAGAAGAGTACTTCTGCCTTAGCTTGGTATACATTTTTAAGAAATGCAACATTTGAGCTTATAATATTGCCACATTGACTGAAGTTAGYAGTGCGTTGCGAAATAAAATAAAGTRTTAAAAAAATAATTAAGGAAKATTTCTCATTGTGGGTGAACCAGATAAGTAGTAGGTAGTTAAGGTGATTGTCTGAGAACGAACCAAAAGAGTTCATATTTATAAAAGAGTGCAACGACCGTCTAAACTCCCACATTTAAATAATGTTGGGAATCAGGAATAATTACAAAAAAAAAAAAATTCAGGAAAAATAAATATATTCTGAATTTTTTTACGAAATTTAGTAATTGTTTTATTCATTTCTTTAATTTTTCTTTATTTTTTGTTTGCATTTTAACTTAGTATGGGCTTCGGCTCATGACACGATCGAATTGCCACATAAATTAATTGCACAACGTCTTTTTTAATGAAATAACAATTATTAAAGCTCTGAATATAAACATTCTGTGGTTCATAAAATAATGGAAAATCAAAATTTTGCTTCCAAAAAAGTCATTTCAAATTTGGAAGTGTTTTTGAGAGCCCAAAATTGGCTTTAAATTTACAATTTCATTGAAGAAAAAAGAATTGATGGTAATTGCRATTTAAACTTGATATGAATATACATACATATTCTTGTATAAATTAAAAATATCATTATTAGGTTTATTCAAACTGCCATTTGATGCAACCTGAAGTCCGAATCCTTTCCCATTATGATTAAAATTTACGATATTTTTTCCATGTCTCCGAAACTAAGCAAATAAATAAAAATTGTAGCATATAAATAGGCGCATTGGCATCAATATGGTTTCTGAGATCTAAGATTTTTTTAATTCATAACACTGGTAAGTACCAGCAGTGTAGAAATTGAATTAAAAACTTTAAACTGAAAATGTCAGCAAATTTTCAAGCAACTCAAACATTAATTTTTGTTTCTATTTCAAATATTATTTAGAAAAAAAACTGAATTTCAGTATGTTAAAATTGTTGGATTATTTATTTATTTTATTTTTATATGACAGAATGAAATACATAACATAACATAAACATTGAACTTAACTCGCGTCAATATATATAAGAAATTTTACAACTTWATTTATGTTTTAAGTCTCAACGTCTTTTTAGGGGGCAAATAAACTAATGCCAATGAATTCTGCAAGATTTATGAAACTTCATTAAAGAAGCAAATATAAAAGCCAGAAACCGCGTTTATTGCAATTTCAAAACAAAAATAAAAACAAAAATTTTATGTCTTCACACTTGCTCTTGCGAACTTTTTTATTCCTCAGCACTCGCTTTTAAAAGCACAACACTTCACAGCTTCGGACGAACAATCAAAACTTGTTGCATTGCAGCCAGGCCAAATTCGTTGCACGCACACTCACGCAAGTGCCACTTCGCAACGTTTACACGTATGTGTGACTGGGATTGTCACGCCAGCAAGCCGCGAAATACYTCGTAGTCAAATTTGCATTTTAAACCTTCATTTAATGTGTATTTAAGACTTTTTAGTTTTCGCCAAAAATAACAGTACTTTTGCACTTTGACACAGTTTCGGTGAATTTTACTTTTTTCGCCCGATTGAACCCAAATACATACACATAAATGCGTTCGCATACGTTCAGCGCACCACACAATTACTGGGTGAACAATATAGAAAATCGGAAAATCGTCAAACGTGAAAAACGAGAGGAGCAACACGTTGCTAGCACACAGACCGCCCAACGAAGACTAAGCGCACGACAACAACTGTCACAGCAGAATAGTAGCACACGCGCCGCCACAGTCAGAATCGCCGCCGCAGCGCTGGGTGGCCGAACGCACGAGCTAACAAGGGTGGTGAGTGGTRGTGACGACTTGTGTATGCTCGAAGCAGGCCAAACACCAACACAATGAAGCAGCACACATAGCGAAGGCAACCAAGTCCAAGCAACTCCAATTGGAACATCAACAGACGGTATGTGCCTGCAATAGCGGCGCTTGTTAGCCGWCGTTCGTATTTGACACTCGCTATTTTGCTCTGTTTACGAATCATCTGCATGTGTGTTTCTGATTGTGTTTTGGTGGTGTCTTTCTCTCATTTCCGTTCTAGTTTTCTTATGATTCTCCTATATTTCATTTCACTTAGTATCGCTTCGCTCTCGGAATTGTAGCTCTCACGTGCACGAGTAGCCCTATGTCCGGGCTATCTGTTCGCTGGCTAGCTCTAATAATGCCAATGCCCTGGTGAGTGTTCGGTGGCGCGATGTTGTGTGCTCTCGCGTGTCCCGTTTCGGCGTATGAGCAGCCGTGAGTRGCGTCTACTCTGTGAGTGTTTCAAACCTATTTCATTTCGGGTGACTGAAAAGCGGAAGTCAGGTGCAACTGTTACTTGTGGCAATGAAACTTGAAACAAATTTAACGAAGGTTTGAACAAGATTTTTATATAAAGAACACAACAATAACTAAAGAGAAATGTTTAATTAATTTCATTAATAAATAAAAAATTAAAAATTCTGAAAAATAATTTTATAATAAATAATTTTATAAAAATAATTTTATATAAAAAAATATTATTTTTGTAAAAGTAAGTTGCATTGATTTGGTAAATTATAGTTTAGCAACAGGTATGTTGAGCAACATAATGAGTTCTTCGGTTGAAATCATTGAAACCATTGGTGTATATGTATACAACTTTGCGATATTTTTACGTAAAAATATGCAATTATATTCACTCTTAGAACAATGAAAACAGAGGTAAAGATATTAAAGCATATTGATATCATACTGAATTTCGTTGAAAAAATAGTTTCAAATTTATATTAATATGAATACTTCGATATTTGCATTGATTTCAAAAGATTTAAGCTCCCGATCCTGCATATCAAGTTTATATTTGACTTACATATACAGCAAAATTAATCGTCGAGAAGATATTAGACTTGGTCAAACAGGCAACATTTCTATCCCTTTGAGACCCTAAAAAATAAGTTCTTAAACATCTCCAGGAAGATCTGTTTGAATGTGATCTTAACGCAAAGACCTTCTCGTTCGTTTTCTTGAAACCTAGTACAGGAGTAGCTCTAGTAAAAATTGGTACTTTACATAAATAAATACACTTTGCTTCAGAAATAATGTAATAACTCCAGAAAAGGATTGTACATTCCATAATAAGGCTCAGCAATTGCAGAGATCATGTTCCGAAATGCTCTAACAGTGCCATATTAATAACATATTTGTGCAAAAACTACTGCTAACAGCTGTTCCGCAGTTAACAGCAACTTAACAGTGCAGTCGCTCATTTAATAACATGGCGCTCTCAGCTGTATTCCCATAACATTTGCTCTACAGATTTATAGCACTCAGGCATACAAAGCACAAACGCACATATACATATGCTTTCTCACCTCTTATGCAATGTTTGTTTTTATTGTTATGTGCCATGTTGATGTTGTTGATCTGGCTGTGCATTACAAGCATATATACAAATTGAGAAGTTGTTGTTCTTGTAATTGCAACCATTTTTTGACTATGTTTGTTTATTTTACTCTGTATTTGTTGTTGTTGTCTTTTTGTTAGGAACATGAAATACTGTTAAAGCGAACGCTCACTGCTGCTGTAATCCCGCTTTATGCTCTTTCTTACTGTTTTTGCTGTTGTTGTTGTAATCGCTAGACGGTGTTCCATTTTTAACTGGCGTGTGCCATCGACGCACGAACTGCCCCAAACGTACGCAGCCACTTACATACATATGTCTCTTTATGTGGGTGTGTATATGTGCATATGTAAATACAATAACACACTAAGTGTTGCATTGTTGTTCTTTTTGCTGTAACTATCGTCCGTCGTGCATATTTACGCGCTGCGAGTGCCGCGCTCTGCAGGTGGAGTCAACAGCAACTGCTGGTCATACAATAAGCCTCGTTCAGCACACCACATGCATGTGTGCATGTGTGAGTGTATAACACTCTGCGTGCTCTTATGCCCGAGCCCGTATGTGTGTGTGCTCGCACGCATTTGCTGCTGTTGCATTTCCGGCTCGTTGCACTTGTTTTYCCTGCTTCACGAAGTGCATGTGTGTTTTTATTGCTGTTGCTGCGGCAATTGTTGCTTCAACTGCCAATGATGACTTACATCTACACTGTAGCCCCCCTCTTACTTTTCACTGCTGTTTGTTATTATTGTAGCCGTTGCTGTTATTTTTGTTATTATTGTTGCTATTGCTGCACTTTTTTTTTTGTTTTTGTTATTACTGCTTCATGAAAATGTGTATTTGAATGAGTGTGTGTGTGTGTGTGCCATCGCCGTTGCTATTCGTTGCAACATTTACTTTTCACAATGTTTTTCATTCCTTTGTTGAGCGCGTGTAGGTTTTTGGTGTGTCGCTTTTGTTATTATTGTTTTTGCATTCACAGCACATGTAAACAATGTTCTTCATCGTGCATTATTATTACATTTCTGTTTACATATTCCTGTTTCTATCAATATTTTCAATGCATACGTAAGCTGTTGCATTCCAGTTGCTGTGATTTTAAGTGGGAAATGTTATTATTTCGCTTTCGCTGTCTATCAGCCATCCATAGTTCGTTCTGTGGGTGTGCATTTCAATGCTTTGTTGCCTTCATTGTGATCCGTTTTCACATATGTACATACCTTCCGCAAAATTTTATAAAATATTTTATGAATTCCTTCGTAATAAAATTGTATATATGTATATGTATATTATTTTTCAGCGAACCGCAAATACTTAAATTTATATTTTTACATAAAGCCTTTTGCTTTCGCTATTTTTATTTGTTTGCTGATTACTTTTTGACTTCTTTACTTTCAGTGGTATTTTTCGGGTGTGAAATGCACTCAACAGTTCATTTGCTAATTTTTAGGCAGAAAAAACTCAGCTGACATAAACAGTTATAAGATAATGGAACTTCAACCGAAAAAGTCATATTTCACTGAAACAAATTTTTTAATCTTAAGCCTATTTGATGCTTCAATTAACATTTCCAGGTCAAAGTAAAGTTGTGCAAGCAATATCAAAGACAATAAGTMAAAAGGGCTAAGTTCGGATGCAACCAAATATTTTATACCCTCGCAACTTGCAGGAMTCAAATACCTTAAGGCATAAAACGGCAACCCGAAGATCGGAATCCAAGTAATTTYATATAARTATACAAATACGCTATATAACTCATACTCTGACCGACATAATCGGCATAAGGTTTGTTAAAAAAACGAATATCATTATATTTTATGTATGTTACATATGGGAGTTGGGATAGTATCGACCCGAATTTATCTGTTTAAAAAAATATTCTCCGGATTTAATTAAGTTAGAAAGAGAAATAATCAAATGMAATTTAAAATTTTGTGATATASGAAGTAGGCGTCCSATTTAACTRATTTTCACACTGCAATGTAGGATTGCCAGTAAAATGACATATACGAAATTTGGCTGAAGTCGGCCTTTCAGTACTTTTTAAAAGTACCGTTRTATGGGGAGTGAGCGGGGTTACCATCCGAYTTTATCCAWCTTCACACTGTCGGTAGGAGTTKCCATAATATAGTGTTTGTGTTGAACAAATTTGGTTGTTGTAACTTAGGTGGTTTCAGAGACYTTAAACTTARYAGAGAGCAGAGCCATGTCCACTTTTTCAAAAAAATTTCCCACAAATGCATTGCGATCCCCTGGGGCAAATTAGAGATTTATGGCTCAGTCTATATATTATRTAGGTTTCCGGTTAATGGCGTTTTGTGATCGTGACAGTAGTCTGAGTTCGCCTATCTACAAACACATACTATGCCATACCAAGATTCTTCAAGACATCTCCATATTACTCAAGTTACAGCTTCTAAGGATGGACGGACAGAGATACAGTCTCCCGGAATTAAAGTAGTCTCGTCATCCTGATCTTTATTATATACATAACCTTATATCTATCTCGGTTAGTTTTAGGTGATATGTACAACCCTAAGATGAACATAACTATTATGCTCTGTAGCAACATGTTGCAGGAGTATAATTAAAGGGTAAATTTTTGGACTTTACACATATTCGGAAGTATTTGCTTTAAGTAGTACCTTGGACTACTATTGACTAGAAGTACTATCGACTGAAAATTTGGCTTCTAGAAAAGCTAATTCCGATTTTGACGAGAGTTGGCGTATCAATTTACAGCTACATATTTGTTAAAAATTTTATTACGTTGCCTTCTTCAGGWCCTCAAAAACGCACATGGAATTTGGAATTGTGTTTCATCGCAAGCAGGCAAGATTATGGTGTCAACGATAAATGGCAATCAAAGCAGACAGGGAAGTCACTCTTAAAAAAAACAAAAAAAAATATGTAATGCCGATAATCGACGAACAACTCTGGACATGACATCCGATTACTGTCAAGTACCAATGAATGTAGACCCAAAGAAGCGAGGCATTGTTTGAATATAACATTATGCATTTTTGTCGGGTAATCGTTGCCATGGTTTTCCAGGAAATTTRCAAGACGCTTAGCATCGAGACAGTGCAGTCAAGTACATATTTTGA